ACATTTGGTTCCCTTACGTGAATCCAGACGACGCAGCTGCTTAGTGGCAAATGGGGATGCTTTTAAACAGGTAGTGGAGAGTTTGGATTCTGTTACCGCTAAGGAGTTTTGGATTTTCCAAGCAAAATTTTTGCATTCGCAATGATATGCACGCATTTTATTCCATGCGACGATTTTCCAGGAAAAATGCATCATAGATTTTGGGATTATTTTGAGATTGGCAAATAGATGTTGCGTTTGCCTATTATGGACAGGTCTTGCACGTACATACGATACAAATGATGCAACATCATCAAAACTTATGAAATGATTTAATATTTGTTTTACTCGTATCAACGCAAAAAGGTTTCTTTGTTTTTGACCGAATTAGCGGTCTTGATAGCTTGTTACTTATGTTCGCGAGTTAGTTGATTTGTTCAGATATACAGACAAAGAGTAGAAACAGGCGTAAGATTTTCGAGGTACACAAATTTAACTCAAGAATTTTGAGAAACTTTCTTGTTATTAATATCTGAATTATCTTGCAAAAACTAGCTTGTGTACCATTGGGAACGCAGTGATATTTTCTGCAAAAATGCAAAACACTTGGGCGGCAGCAGGCTTCAGCACCCCTCTGTAGCCTGCATATTCAGCAAGCCAGTACATCGCGCACATAGATTACCTTTGCGTAAACCAGATGAGACCGTATGTGATGAGATAAATAATGCATAGCTTTTCCAAAGACCGCTCCATACATTAAGGCGGATTGGAGGTCTCTATCTCCTACCTTCTTCAGTCATAAATACAACTCAATTAGAATGCTCGGTTCGACAAATTATTCCTCAGTTGTAAGTGCACTTATATGCTCAAAAAACTTTCATTTAAGTACTCAGTCGGTGACCCATTGGCAGACGTTAATTTAGGAGCAATGAATTCGAAAGAACATTTTGAAAAGGTGAGTGTCGCAGATCATTTCGAACCATTTTGTTAAGTAGACGTTCTGCTGTGTACTAATGCGTTATAAGGATCGGCCTATTTAGATCGACCAATCCGTAACGCTTATAGGCGCAATAAGGTTCGGTCGAGGCGCAGCGGTTGCGTTGCGGTGCCGCGATTTATCG